CATCCGAACTCTCTTTGTCAAAAAAATTAGAGTATATTGTAAAGTAAGATCGAAATTATTTTTTATATAGTAAATATTGAAACCTCTTAACTTCTTTATATGTGGGATTTTTTTTTAATGACATTTTTGGCTTACTGTAAAAATTATGCATACATATAGTTGTCCGTCTTAGGTAAAATAAGTCAACCATACTTCCTAAACCTACTTGGAGTTATCCAAACAAAAAAAGGAGTAGACGTGTGTAGATTACGATAGGAACGTATTGAATGATTAGGTAAGAAGCGAGATATTATTTATTTTTAGACGAGTAAAACTTGCTTAATTGGTGAATCTTTTTAAATTTTAACCCTTTTTTCGTCATTTATACATTTAACTGGTGGGTTAAAAATTCGAATCGTATTAGGGAATAAGAAGAAAAGGAGGGATATTTGCTTTTTGAGCACAATTTTTGTGTGGATGATCAATTCTTGATGCAAGGTGCCAACTATAATGTTAGGTCAATTGGAACTATCAACTAAAATAGAACTCTCTAAATTTAGAACATGCCATTTGTTCGGACTCACTTAATTTATTAAATTTTTGTTGTCAAAATCCTAAGCTTCAATATAAAATTCAATCAAGTCTACATCTTTCACCAATCCTTTTGTCCCATTATGCCACAGTGCAAAAAAAAAATCAATTTTAATACAATGCAACTTATCTAGATCCTCTATTGAATTTGGGCAGTTTGTGAAACAATTCAATTTTTTTTTTGTGAAATGTGACGTTATGAAGCCTTCTAAATATTACTAGTACTATACGTTTGCCCACTTTTTTTTGTTGATGCAATTTAATTTTCTGAAGTTGTCTGTGTCATCTATCAAATTCGAACGTTAGTAATAACTTCCATTTAGTATGAAATAGCCAATTTCAACAATAGTAATAAGAAAGAAATGTTGGGACCTTTAATTTGTTCAAAACCAATTATGATAGTGGGCCTTATGATGTCATTAATTGTAATATTTTGGGCCAGCATCATGGAAATTCAGCCTCAGCCTTTGTCATGTATGAGTAATTATCTCAAGACCCTTGACCAACAATGCATCAGTCATTATAATTGATTTTGAATTCAGAATTTTAATTTATTAAACAAGTGATCAGTGAGTCCACTGTTCTTTATGTTGTATTACATATATAGTTCAAATTCAGAGTTTAAGATTCACTAGTGGTGTGATCATGTGGCACGCTAAGTAGATATTTCGATCAAAATCATTTGTGTTACACAAATCAACTAACTATCAAAGTTGTTTTATACTCAAGTATGTCATAATTTGCTACTAATAAGATTTCGATTGTTATATGTTTAGAAGAATTATTGGCAATTAGAAGGTGCCCAATTGCAAAAAGGTAGTAAAAACATTCACTTTAGCTTTGAAAATAGGCCCACGGTAGAGGAGAAAAGACAACTCTAGAGGTAAAGAACCTTTTATCGTGCCCCAATACATTTTAATCGTCTTTATATGAAAAAGACAACTTTGGGGGAAAAGAAGGGATTAAAAGAGTGGAAAACTTTGATTGAGGCCTTGAAAGTTTGGACTTTAAGAAAAGAAGGAAACATGTCATTTTACATCTTGCTTGCTCAATTGTCAATCGGTTACCATCATTAATCACAACCATCACGGCTATCATTTTTTGCAAGCTTTTAAAATGTGTTTGATCAAACAAGCAGCGATTTAAATACAAATACTCAATAAAGATTTTTCTTATATTTTATGAATACAATATTTTAAAATATTGATATTTAACAGGGAAGGTAATCACTCACCTCATAAGATCACGTTATGATTGGCTTAAAAAGATGTGGTATTAGTCAAAAAGGGATAACACTATACCACCTCCATTAATTTTCACTCTTCCAACTCACATCTTTATATTCTAATTTGTAATGATACCTTTCTCATTTTAAAAACGTTTCAAAGTATTTAACAAATATTCATTTAAATTATTATTTATAAATTTTGTAACACTCATGCTTAAAATATCATTTAACTGCTTAATTTATTTTTAGTAGCATAGACATGTAAAAATATAGTACAGTAATTCTCCGTTCAGTTAGCTAACAATAACTGTTCATCATTAATGCAAAAGCGAATGACTATTAAGACAAATTAAAAATATGCACACATTCACGACTAAGGGTCCATTTGGCCATGCGATATGGTATCATGATATGGTATCATAATATGAAATCATGAGATGAAATTGAAGGTTTGTTTGAACATGTGATATGGAATTTTTATGTTGTATATTTTCTCATAAACATAAAAATCCTATAAGTTGTAAAAGTATTAAAATAGCCCCAATTGTTTATTCAATCTTATCAAATAAACAAAAATTATAAAATCGCATAATAAATTATTACAAAGTTATTTGTTCTTCACTTAAGTAATTGTTTCGTCTAACTTTAATTTAATTTAAAATTGAACATAAATTGTACTTGATATGCTCATATCTCTCAACTACTCTTTACAAATAACCTATAAAGTGGGGAAAAAACATACATTAGTGAGTAAATATTAACTTAGAAGTTAAATACACTAAGATCAAAATTAACAACGATCACTGACTTCTAATTATTTACAAGAAAAATCAATA